CATAGCACATTTGTCCAGTCTTCGCAACGTGTAATTTCTACTTGCAACTTTCTGCCAAACGAGATCTCATTGGTCATGGAATAAGACAGCTCGAACATCTATTGGTCACTTCTCGGTTCTTTGTTAGATTTGCAGCTACCTCGCTCGGCTCTTGGGTATAGTTAGAGACATTATTGCTATTCTTTATGCGGTAATAACTATATTTCATCAAAGGATAGCCCTACATGCCCGAAAAAGTTGCGATCATACTTACACAAACACTAATCCATTTTGTTATTTTCAGTCTAGCGTTTGCGGAGACAACCTACTGAGGTATTTAATTAAGTAGGCAATAACACAGGGTAAGGGTTATACTTTAAGGTACCGTTGATGGCTTTAGGAACAAGTAATTCTTTCCGTCATCTATTTTTGCACTTTTAGGTTAGGATATCTTTTAAACGGGATCCAGCAGAGAAACTCTGAGTTCAGATTCAAATTCGGTGCACCGAAAACCTTCGGAAAAGTAAATACAGGTTTGTGCTTCTGAAACCTTGTATTCCTTTGTAAGCGGTCTAAACTTCCAAGAAATCATATTTTGCACGCTTGCCATAAGTCGTGCCCAGCCTCATACCTCCTCGGAACCTCCAGGGAGCTAGAAATATGGAATGACGAACTGCATGTGCTTTTTAAGACATAGGCATACGGTGACTAATCAGGGATACCACTGAATCCGAACGAAGCATATACTTTGTGTGTAGATGTTCATGGCAATTCGGATTTAGTGATCTCATTTTCGTACATTTTACATTTTTTTTCCAGCAATAGCCCAGATTACGAAGGCTTAGACATGTATGTATTCGGTTATTCGGTCTCGACACCCATGTCTGGGCAAAGGGTGCGCAATACTGAATAAGCTCTTTAATCGCGAGTTGTCCAACTCTACCTCGGATTAGTAAAATCATTTTGATTATGTTTGGAACTAAGAGTTTCCTAAAATAATTTTCAACCGAGTATAATGACTGTCGTAGCCAAGTGGTCGGAGGTATGTCCAGGTTCGCTTCTCGCGGAATCAAAAACTGATCTAGACAGTTTTTCAGCACTGGTCACCCTTCGACAGGCAATGGCTGAACTCCAATTCTATTTCTGCTATGAAAAAGCCAGTGCTACGATTTTACGAGTACGTAGAATATGTACCGTGAATCGAGCAAATGCACTTTCTTGTAGCTATTCCTTCAAGCGTTTTATTTGACAATATCACAACTGGAACTTTATTTACTTGTACAAGCAGCTCGCATTTTGTCATACGTAGCAGCGAGTTAAGTTGGATTTCAGGTATTTAACACCTATGAAACCGGTACAAAATTCGGAGACGCCTCTTTTGCGCACAGCACAGCGCAGGTGTTGCAGGTATATCGATTCAAGTTTGGCTATTTTTATTTTTTTTTTTGTTTTTTTCTATAAATAACTTAAAAAATTGTAGGCACCGAATGGTTGAATATTTTGCATAATTGCAATTCCGCCATGTGCAGCAACTATTAGAAATTCCATAGCGAAGGCTTACACCGGTTGGAGGAGGCCAAAAACTTGTTAAAATGTGCATACATACATATGTACAGGGGTGATATATATTGCATGTGAATGTAGTTTTACTTACAAGAGCCAAATGGAAAGCATGTCCGGAAAACCAAAGCCGGTTGTGGATGAAACGAAATTAAAAAAAAGGTAATTGAGCTAATGAAAAAATCCCTATAGAAAAATAATTATTTATGTATATGAAATCAAAAATGCAACTCGTGGGTGCACAACTGTTCATTCAGATTAAATGTCTTCTTATCTGACTATGCTAAAAAGTGCTTTGAATATATTTACATACATATATGTGTACATATCGACAGAAGTATCAATATACTGGGGTTTGTTATAGAACACAATATGCTGTCGCCTTTGATTGTAAATTATGCGCTGATAAGCTGACACTTCGTGTTAATTTATTAATTAGCGCTTAATTGCTCTTAAAGTAATTGAGATTGCAGCAGACACTCGTAGAAGTCAATGCACAATTCACCCGGTAGCTGATTATTCCACGGTAGCAGATAGTCAAGTATGTACTGATAAGCTATAGAATACTTTTAGTAGCTACTAGGTACATTGTAATAAATAGATTATAGTAACTGGCTTTAGTTTCATTCATAATTTTAGTTTAAGAAAATACTTCTCTTAAGAATAATCGGTTAGATCTTGAAGATTCGATATGTTAAGTTATGTTATAGTAATTGGCCAAGGCAAATGACCAACCTGGGCATTTTAGACTTTGTCCTTTGTGACACTACGAAAACTGAACGGAGACCAATTATTCTGTCGGCGCAATGCCGCAAGTCTTTTACGAAATTACAAATACGACTAATTTCAATGCCACAGAACTCCTCCGAAGTTGTCGGAAAGTGCGAGACACAATGTTTCCATCTTAGCCTCGCGAAGGCTGGGCAATCCAATATAAAGTGCTGAGATGATTCCACCTCATCATCCTCCTGACAGCTGATACAAGGTGAAGGGATCAGGTAGCATTCCCAATCTTACCGCGTAAGTACCAATCGCATAAGGGCCTGTCAGAACCCCCACCAAAAGCGCAAGCTGAGACTGCAAGAAAATCCAGCTCCTTTGACCGAACCCACCCTGGGCCGAGAGGTTCTTTCAATTACGCATTTTCTAGTATTTACCTAGCGCTCGCTTACATGAGGACCATCCGTTGTATAGTGAGCCGCAGGAGGACAGAAGCAACACCAACTGCTCCCTATCCGTTGATAATTTTTCAAGGGTAAAGATTAGAAATCAGATGGGAAAAATTGCCATCAAATAATCTGAGGGGTTAATCTGAAAATTATCAGCACCAGTTCAATTAGCGACTTGATGCAAAGTGTTTTAACCTAACAGGACCAACTAGAGCAATAAGCAACCTAAAACCCGGAATGATAACAACGTTTGATATACTGGTGGCTCCAAGAATGGTCACGGCGTCGGGGCAGAAAGTTTCCTTTCACCGGGCAAGGGGCAAGCTAATACTTTCCTTCAGGCTGAGGTGCATTTGATGAAACTATGTCTGAAACAGTACGTACACGCCGACAACATGGTGGACAACCGCGCACACGGAACTGGGTTTAATTCATCTGGGCACTGGCTCAATATAAGTAACCTAGATGAGTGCCCCGTAACTTATCATGAGTCGTACTATCGCCGTTTTGAGCCAACTCAGTATTCTCTGCAACCCACTCTAGCTTTTTTTCTGGGATGCACCTACACATCATAAATATGCTTCTTGGTTGTTTACTCTACCTGCATTTTACAGAGTAAGTTTTGGTCCAATAATTTCTTCATAAAAGGACAAGTGGGACGATTTAAACATCATGTGGCATAGCCAGATAGTGTAAAGAGCCTTGTGCTCATATAAAACAGTGTCAAGAATAGTAGGCCCTTGCAAAGTGTACTCTACAAACTGTAAATCAAAAACAAGATTACGTTACGGTGGGCTACAGCTCATGAGGGCTTTGATAGCAACAAAAGGACCTGAATGATCCTAAGATTTTCTGTGGTCTATCCAAGAGATCCACCGTAGAGCTTCCAAGGAGGCAGGTTTACTCTCGAAAGATTTATAACTCTCTTTTTTGGAGCCTTTAAGAGGGAGGACCTAAGAATTATCAATGTATGCCTGACAGGGAACTGCTAACTAATTTACCACACTTGTAAACTGGGACTTTCTGCGAAGACGAACTACAGCTTTACTTTGTGGTAAATGTAATCTTAGGCTTACATAGTAAGTATTCAACTCGGAACCCGCTGGTGATAGCAGAGGAGGACTTGGCTTCAGTTGACATTTCCAATTGGTGTCAGGAGAGAAACGACTGGTGTGCTCTTTTGGAGCCGGGAAAAATCCATAAATAAAAGAGACGACAATGTAAAATGTATTGAGTTTAGGGGTGGGCCCCACTTTCCCACTGAAATAAAAATTGCGCCCGGACTGCCAAAGACAACTGGCGCCATAAATTCAAAAGCATCTAGCGAGCTTCAAAATAAAACTTTAACGAATTCGTAAATTATTACAAGATCTATAAAACTGAGTACACAAATCTCAGAATTTTTAAGACAACACATGCTCAAAAGCTTTGAATAATCTTAAAAATCGGCGAGCTTCCAACAAAATTGTTTAGTACAACGTTTTCAAATACGAGTATCCACATCAACGTACAGGTAATAAAGCTTTATACATATATTATTTTCTTTTTTTTTGTAAATACCAAGCCCATATAAGAACTTTAAGTTCTGCCACCAAAAATTTGTTAAGCAAACGACTTAAATGGAGAAACTGTTTTGAGCAATTGAGTGCGCGAATGAGCGAGTAAGTGAATGAGCAAAATGAGTCAGTATGTAGAATAATGCGTGGAGTACTTGAGAAGCCTAAGCAAATTTGTATGGCCTGTTGTTCCGGTGTGTCGTCTCATTATTTTTGCATTTGTTGCTGCACTCATATTTCATTGCCTCCGCGACCTCATGTGGCTTTTGTGAGTTATTTAGTATCGCATTGAAATTTTATATGTGTGTGTGTTTGTCTGTACCATGCAGGAAATTTATCTATAAGTTAACCTGAAGTTGATTAGGAAGGATGTCTAAGGGTCCCTATTATTTGTATATTTTTTTTTTTAGGAAAGCTAACTGTATTTGTATTGCGTTGGTCAGATCTCTGCATTAGGTGTCAACTAACTTGTAAGGAACTACGTTTGGACATAAAATATAAATAAAGAACTTTTTTTTTACTTTGTTTACCTTTTTTATTAACTTTATTTAGCATTACATATTTGTTTATATATGCTGCTGTAGGTAGTCAAATGATTGAATTCCGTCAGACATAACTTTAAAATGATAATATAAAATTTCGATCTTCATTTTATCTCTCCTGAACTCGAAAAAGCATTTGAGAAGTGCAGAAAAAAGTGTATTCAAAGTAATTTTTGTATGAGAAAATTTAAATAGAATATTGTTTAAAGAAAACAAACTCCAGATTACGTCTGCGTGACTCCAGCATGACTTTACAGCTCACTTTAAGTTATTGACAATATATGATATATTGACAATTTTTTCTGCAGGGTATGTTTATCATCTACTCAGACAGATCGGGTGTGTTGTGTTTTGTATGCTGAAGTCTGGCGCTGTTGCTGCCATTTTGCTACACATTCACCACATTCTGCTTGGTGTATCGTCGTCCACCAACCTCTGGCTGATTGACAAAGTATTTAGCTGCTCGAAACAACCGGCCAGCTGTGCATATAAGCATTGCTTGCTTAGTAGACAACAGAATGTTTTTCCAGTTTTCTTTTAGTATGAATTGAGCGCGCAAATTGTATGGACGTGAAAACTGCAGCAGCGAAGTCAAAGTCAAAGTCAGAGGCGATTTTCTTTTCTCGTGCTAAGAAATACATAGTTTAACAAGAGCAAAATATTTTACATTCGAGCTTTTTTTTTTGTGGAAAGAATTGTTGCAGGAAATTTCGGAAAAATTTATATCTACATAATTTTCTATGCAAAAGAAATTATTTAATTAAGAGAATATAAGAAAATGTTCGCAGATTTGCAAACCGGTGTTTAAATAGACTTTTTGACTTAAGCTTTGAACTAAAAAGCAGCGCGACCACGTGTACACTCAAGCACGAGCTGGAGTAAGAGAATTTGAGTGAAGTTAACGCAAAATAAAAGTGACAAGAAATAATATAAAGTTTTGCGGCGCTAAAAGCAAAGCTTCTTGCAAAAGCGTGTGCACGTTGAACTCGAATTTTTTTGTAGAATAAAACATAAAAATTATATAAAAATAAAAATACAAAAAAAAACAAATAACCGCAAGAATTCCAGCAACCAAAGCTACAAAAGGCTCATTTATGCTATATGTACATACTTATGTATATGTATGCAAAACGCGCCTTGAAAATATCTATTATTTTTTTGTTTTTGTACTTTAAATACATTTGTTTTTGTAACGTTGCTGGCAATTCCGCGCTCAGTGAGCTCTACATCGTATTCAAGAGCGCGCCAGTGAAACTAAATAACAGCTTTCGTTATTCAAAATGCAAATTTCGTCAACGTTGGCAAACTGATAACGCACTGGGGTGTGTGCGTACGCGAGTAAATGTGCCACGCTGCCTCAACCCAGCTGTTAATGTGAAGCGGGAATAGTAGTAGTGAATTGAAATGACACATGCGAAAAAACAAACTACCTGCAAATAAACAAACAAATAAAATACCAAAAGACCTAGCAACGCTAAGAAGCAAAATAAAAAATTGCTATTTAACGGTCGTAAACAAGGCAAACAGGTGGCCCAAGCGTCAGCGTGATCGTGAGAAAAAGTGCTTATGTGTATACAACTCGCGCGGCTGATGCAATACACCGCTGTGATTGCTAACAACAAACAAGAATATTAGTGAAACTATATACATACAAACATAATTAGAAAGTAAACCAAAATCTTCAAACCCCCAAAGAAAAGAAGCAAACAGCATTCCGGCGCATGCGTACAATCTTCCTTTTTTACACCCTTAAATGTGTACAATAAGCGCTTAAGCACCTTCGAAACTTAAAAATCTAACTCAAATCCTACACACAACAACCCTTGAGCAGCAACGAGCTCAACGAACATCACACAGCCTACATTTTCCAATTTTCTTACCTCTAATTGAGTTAGCAGGCAGCACAATCGGAAGTCTCACACAAAATACGCTCACAAACTCTCAACACAACACAATGGCTCGCATACAGCCTGGTGATAATGTGATAACTCCGCGTCCCCTCTTCGATACACCCGTCAATTCGATTGCGGATGTGGGCGCACAACATAATCTCTCAACAGATAGTTCCAGTCAAGGTTCTGGTGTAAAGCTTAAAAAACAAATTGGCCTGCTTGATGGTGTGGCAATTATTGTGGGCGTCATTGTTGGCGCCGGTATTTTCGTCAGTCCCAAAGGTGTGCTGCTCTACTCAGGCTCGATTGGTCAATCGTTGATCGTTTGGATTTTATGCGGGGCATTGAGTATGGTTGGCGCGCTTTGCTATGCAGAATTGGGTGAGTAATGATGAATGGAAAAAAAACAACGTTTATGTATTTATTAACCAGATATGTACATATATTAGGGTGCCTCACCAAAAAAATTTTGGGGGTTTTCCCCCGGAACTATAAAATTTGTTCTTTTTTTAGACGTTGTATGCAGACCTTTTAAGCTTAAGCTCTTCTATCATCTGAGGTGATTTTTGGAGAAACAATTTTTAAAAACTGAATTTGTTTAAAAAAAACTTAATTTTTTGAGGTAGTCTCAAATCGGTCTTGCTCGCATAACTCTTAATATTTTTCCAATATTTTTTGGCAGAGGTCTTAGAACATAATGTTTTTTACAAATCCGTTGGAAAAACAGTACCGCTTTTTTTTTTGTATATCCAGATAAGCAATTAAATTTTTGCCAAAAATTTTTTGAGCATAGCACATTTTTTCAGCACTTATGTTTATATGAACATCGCTCTAAATATGGGCTACTCTCTCACAATCGACTTTTATATCCAAGCACCAGGATACTATGAGATCGCGATAATTTATCTACTTAACTTACTTCGATTAACTTTAAAATCCTCTGTGGCTAATTACTGCCTTCGAACCAACCAGATGTGGGATTCCAGTATAAAATTAATAAAAATGTTCTAGTTCAATAAAACAAATATAAATAAATTTTGTAAAAACCCAGTTTATTCGATTGTAAAAATCCGTTTTACTCGATATTCGAAAAATCAATATTAAAAAAAAAAAAAATTAAAATATTAAAAAAAACATACATACATATATCTGCATCTATAAATGGTATATGCCTGAAATTTTTTCATAATAAAAGTAACAGACCTACTTACAAGTGTTTCAAGGTCAAATAAAAAATATTCGGTTTTAAAAAGCAATAAGTTGAATGAGTTTGCTTAACTAACTTTACATAATTTGAGAGGGCTAGTGCGTACGACCACGTCAAGTGTTGCACAAAAATTTGGTTGGTAACGGATTTTTGTAAAAATTGTTTTAGAATGAAGTACTTATAATGGTTATGTTGGCATATAAATATTTTGAAAAAATTCTACACGGATACTTGTCCATGCTATTGACAATTATATTTAAGAGCTTGAGAAAATTTAAAAATTAATTCTTACTAAACTATAAATAACAGATAGATGAAATTTAGCACACTTATAATTAAATCTTTACAGTTTCTCAAACAAAAACAACAACATCAAATTGTTGTAAGTAAATCTTTTTCCAATCAGATTTTAACAATAACATTTTAATCAATTAACGACAACATATTATGCACACTATTATAAAAAATTAACTATCATCAATCGATTATTTAGCTTTAATAAGCTAAACAAAGTTTATCGCTATCAATTGTTTCGAAAATATTTAAAATTTTTTAACGATCGTAGTTTCGGCGGAATTAAACTTTGGTATGCTCTAAAATATATGAAATTGTCAATAAGATAAAAAATATGGGATGTTTTTTTTCAAAATATTTCAAAATTTTCAAAAGTCCGTAACTTAGCATATCTTTCGTAGTACACTTGACGTGGCTTTACTCATTGTAAATAAACTCAACACAGAACGCAAGATAAACGTAATTATATGAAGTAAAAAAAATAAAATATTTTAATGCTGATTGGTTTTTAATGCTAAGTACTCGTAGTTGCAAAGCCAGCAAGAATGTCGTTACTGATAATGAAATTAATAGAGTCTGCCTCCAGCTGTAGGGGTGTTACCACCGATAATTCTTAAATATATATGATTCAGCTATAAAACTCAATTATAACAAAAACAAAATAAATAAGTATTAAATGAAACAAATATTTGATCAAGAAATACAAAAATTACCTAATTACCTAATTAACAATCACTTAGCCAAATACATTTATGTTTGCACTCAACTCCCACTCCAACACCGCAAAATAAGCGAACTCATAACACTCGACAAAAGTGAGTAAGAAAGCTGAAAAAAAGCATTTAAATTGATCAGTTCTCTATTTACACACATACATACATACATATGTATATACTGGTATAAACAATAAATTTTAATGACAAGTGGCAGAGGCACACGTGAACGAAAGAGCTAAGACTGTTAGATAAAATTAATTAAATTTATAAACGATTAAGCAGAAACTCAGCACCTCTACATTTACTTATATATGTATTGGCATAACTATGTGCGAAATGTTTATGAACCGTTTAATTCACAAATGATACTCTTGAAAAACAAAAATGTTATCGCTTGCACATTTGCTAGTGCGCGGCCGAGCTTCTCCTCTAATTTATGGTCAAATCCTATACTAACAGAGTGGTAGTGCGCACCTCTAGCCACTCGACCACGGTGGTCCCGTAAAAACTATGAGCGAGCGTAGAATTGAGTTAAATTTAAGAAACACCCAAATATTTAGATAACACTGAAGACAGCAAGCATGATGCAACGTACTCTATGCCACTTTAAAGAACTTACATCAGCCCGAAAGTTTGTGCCCAAAATGCCTACGCTTGTATGTGCACATTGTACGTAGATATGTATGTATTTATATTTTCTAATGTACATACATATATATGGTAGGCATTGGAATTTCCGTTTAGCATGTTTTTAGGTCATTACGAAATTGAAATAATCAATCTATCAATTCCTTTTTAGAGATAAATACAGTAATTTGGTTTTGTTGTATAGTGAATTGATTTTTGCCCAAACAAGAACACTTCAAGGCTTGGTATTAATTTCTTAGGGGAATAAAAAAAAAATGTATGTTAACGAAAAGAGTTGCCAACGAAGGGTTGCCTCCTCACAATCAGACAAAGTGAATAGACTGACGTTGAGCACCACTGATATTTATTTATGTACAAACACACAAAATAATGGGAGTGCGATATTTTGGCTAGTGTTGACTATTTGTGTTTTGTTTATTTAATTTTTATTATTTTTGTTTATAAAATTCTAGCTGGGGCCTATTTCATAAAAGTGACTGGTGCGACAATTGTCGATTCTTCTATAAAATTTCACTGCCATAATTTTCGGCGACTTTTTTTTCTGTTTCATATACGCTTGCAGGCAACTGTGAAAATTTTTGGAAAGCGACAGTGATATTATGAAATAGTATTGACAATTGTGCTGACAATTGTCACTCTGACAAAATTGTCGCGACAATAGCGACAAAACCAAGTAGCTTCATCGGAAAGCTTTCACAGGAGAGTTTTGTAAATTTATTTATTTATATGGCAATTGCACGCATTTGATCACTTTTCACTAGTTTCTTAAAACTAAAATAATGCAAGTGCAATTACTACATATGATTTACGAAGAAATTTCATATGACTGGCGACAATTTTTGTCTACGACAATTTTAAACGCCGACACTTTTCACTTTTTCAAAGGAATTTCCCATGGAATTTGTGAGGTGGTGACATTTATTTTTATGAAACAAAACACCCAGCAAACTGTCGAAATGTCACTGACAACATGGAAAATGCCTGTCGTTACAAAATTATCACTGTCGCTTTATGAAAGAGGCCCCTGGTTATACAACACCATGGGAAAAATTCATAGTCGAAATAAAGTCGACTCTAATGGTAATTACAGCTTTTTGTACAATAACTATACAAATTTTTGATCACAATCTTTTGATATAAAGTTTTGTAATATGATGAAGTACAAGTTTCAAGTTGGTAAAAAATTCCGTTGACTTTTGAAATTGTTATTTTTTTTTTTGAATGTGTTTCGTTTTTTCTTTTTTTAATTTAGAGTCAAAGTTACTAAGTCAACTTTCTATGAAAACTCATATTTTGATACAGGAGGCTATAGAAATTAAAAATTTATCGTTTCGAAAGGGTTAAAGGACCTTATTTTATAGTTTCTCGTTTATATTCAATGAAAGGAAAATTTGCTAAGTCCAAAGGATGCTCCCAAAATTCGATAAGGCCAAAAACGTACGAAATCTTTTAATAAAGATCGAATCCCTCTGATTCGTATGGAGTTTTGCTTCGCTTTAAATAGGCAAAATTGTGTTTTAAAAGTTTTGCGAATTAGTTGAAGAAAATGGCTATAAAAAGTTATCCCTCGCCTGTAAAATTTTTACTTAGCAACTTTTCATTCTAAGCTAGCGATATGTCTATGTACATATATATTCCAAACTCTATTCTTTTAAACTGTTACAAACAACCGCTCTGTGAGCAAAGTAATAATACCCTTGTGCACAAATGCGCTCGGGTATAAAAATAAAATAAAAAATTTTACTATACACATCTGTTTTTCTAAAGTTTTAAGTCGTCACAGGCATTTGGAGTTTTTACTAGTGCCGGCTTTTTGTGGCTATATTTTTGTTTATACATAGTATTTGAACTTATTTATAAGTATATAGACAAACACACATTGTTATTATATTTGCACACTGCGCCTAAAAGACTGTAAAGAGCTTAAGAGCGCACTGCCCTATTTTTTGCTAAAATGCTCTCTTAGATTGCATCTCTTTGCAAGGTTGTTATGCGTTGCCAACTACGAGTACATACGGAGAGTGCGGCAAATGGTGTTCATAACTTAATTACCTGGGCCGGATCTACGGTGGGGGGAAAATAGGGAAAATATGCGACACACGAGGTTTTTTTCGATTTTTATTAATTTTCTACTTTCTGCCTCTATTGCAGGTACAATGATCCCCAAATCTGGCGGCGATTATGCTTACATCGGCACAGCGTTTGGTCCACTGCCCGCCTTCTTATATCTCTGGGTAGCGCTGCTTGTACTCGTACCAACTGGAAATGCCATAACAGCGCTCACATTCGCACAATATTTGCTGCAACCATTTTGGCCGTCATGCGATGCGCCCATAGCGGCGGTACAACTGTTGGCAGCCGTGATGACATGTAAGATTTCGTATATACCGCACTGCCCAATAACTAAGTATGAGAAGATTTAAAAAATTTTTTTTTTTTGCACTTCTTTTCTCGCTCAGGTATTCTGACAGTCATCAATTGCTACAACGTACGTTGGGTGACGCGTGTTACCGACATCTTTACCGGCACCAAGGTATTCGCATTGCTTGTGATAGTCGCTGCTGGCGCATGGTATCTCTTCGCCGGCCACACAGAGCAGTGGGATGAACCAATGCGTGGCACCTTCACAGCACCCGGTTTGATAGCGCTCGCTTTCTACAATGGTCTCTTCTCGTACTCTGGTTGGAATTATTTGAATTTTGTCACAGAAGAGCTAAAGGATCCATACAAGAATCTGCCACGTGCCATATGCATCTCCATGCCGGTGGTGACGCTAATCTATGTGGTGACAAATATTTCCTATTTTTCGGTGCTCTCGCCAGAGGAGATGTTGTCTTCGGACGCAGTCGCTGTGACTTTTGGCGATAAAATGCTCGGCTTCATGTCCTGGCTCATGCCGTTCTTTGTCGCCTGCTCGACTTTTGGTTCGTTAAACGGTGCCATATTTGCCTCTTCGCGTCTCTTTTTTGTCGGTGCACGAAATGGTCATTTGCCTGCGGCAATTTCACTCATCAATGTGAATTGTTTGACGCCTGTGCCATCGCTGATCTTTCTGGTGAGTGTGGAAATTATTTATTAGTTTTTATTTTCTATAATTTTTGAACGCTCTTCCGCAGTGCGTCATCACCTTAGTGCTGCTCTTCATCAAGGACGTATATTCGCTCATCAACTATGTCAGCTACGTGGAAGCGCTCTTCACGCTACTCTCCGTGTCGGGCTTGCTATGGTTGCGTTATAAGCAACCGAAAACAGAACGTCCCATTCGCGTCAGCCTCGCCCTACCAATCATTTATCTGCTGACGTGTCTCTTTCTTGTGATCTCATCCGTTTTCCAGTCACCCATCGAAGTGGGTGTAGGCACTACCATTATACTCTCCGGCATTCCCATCTACTACCTAACCATACATCGACCAGTGAAATGGCTGACCGGTCTGTCACAAGCGATTAATCTTTGGTGCTCAAAATTCTTTATTTGTATGCCAAACCAAGAAAAGTTCGATTAGTTTTTAAGCGTTGAGTTATAGGTTAAGTTAAACTAAGACGAATTGCCAGAATAATGACAGTAGCTGTAATTTACTGTGACAAAGTTTAGGGACAAATGCATGAATAAATTAGTGGTAGTGTATAGAGGTCGGTAAAGACCTTTTAACAAAATGGGGTGCCTAGAAAATCCAATATGTGGAAAGATTTGTGTGCCTTCAAAAGTTCGGGTTTGAATTAGAAAACGAAAACAATCGAATTGAATTAACTCCCCAACTTATAAATGTGAAAAATACATACATAGACATACTATGTATACGAATTTATAAATCCGATAACCATATAAAGCTATTTTTGTCCTAACTGTTCTAGAACAGCGATTTACAGAGCTCTTAACCAGCATAAAACTTTTTCTACTAGGTGTGCATACAGTGGCGAAAAAATAAATAAGGAAGAGATATTTTAGCATTCTTTGCGTTAATTTCATATTTATTTGTATGAACATTTGTTAAAATTCGTCGAATTTTTATAAATGTTCTACAAAGTTTGCAAAATTGATTTACATGTTTTTTTTTAAGATAGTAAGCTTTAATTTCATTAAAAAAAAATTAACATTTTTAACAAAGAAAAATAGCCGAAACTTACCACAATTTCCCTTCCCTATTTACATTCTCGCCACCGTATGTCTGTAGGTATGTACATACGTAAGTAAGCCGGATTAGACTGTAGAGGCTCCAATACCAGTGCGATTCAAATCCATCATTGCAAAGTTAAGCTTGTTCGAAATCAATTAAAATTTGAGTTTTTGAGGAAGAGTTTGTGCTCTCCTGTCAGAAATCTAATGGCGCATCGCTTACTTTTAAATTTCAATCAGCAATTGAGAATGCTAGTTTGGTTTCTCATTTCTCGACGGGCCAGTGTTCTACAATTACCAATAAGTCTATACTTTTTTGCAAAGAAACTTTAATCTACGGTTAGCTAACAGGATAATATTTTCATTCGAAATTTTAGTGTGCACACTGTCAAACTTAACCTAAGCTAAAGTAAATCATCGTTTGTTTTATACAGAAATCACAACGGAGTTGTAATGGATAAACTCTAAATCACAACCTGCATGACTTATCCTTTTCATTTTAGCAATTAAATTTCGATTATATTTGCGTTAGCTGACTATGCATATCAACAAATTCATATATGTAATACTCCTATATTGGCAGTAAGAGCTAGTACCGTCCGAAAACACTACAGTACAGATATATCAATAAACACTTACGAAAGAAGAGGAACACATACGTTTGTAAATAAACATGTACACGACACATTTACAAAAACGGAACTCAAGTACACAATACATTGACAAAAACAGTACTAGACTGTCTCGCTTTGATTTCGGAATGCTTACACATTGAGATGTTAACTTACTACCAATATAGAAGTATTACATATATGAACAAACTATAATACATACATATGTACTATATGTAGTTGTATTGTAAATACTGCTATTAAGTCCGAAAATGAACTGTTTTTAGTTAAACTGAATAATAAAACAGGCTATTGTATGTTCTAAATAAATACATATGTATAAGCGGAAAATGAATTGATTAAAAAGACAAATAAAAATAAAAATTTATGAATCTTTGTTATCCACGACAGAAAACCAGATGTTTAATGAAACAATATCGAAATTATGTATGTAGTTATACAGTTTAATTGTAAAAGATCCATATTTATAAGAGAAAATTATACGAAAAAACTTGGACTTTAACACGTAAAATATAATAATATAATGTTAATAAATAATAATAAATTTAAGAAATATTACATATATTTAGAAAGTTTTATAAAACAAAACTTTGGAATATTGTATATTATTAAGTTATGACAAAAGCATATTTTTTAGCCGTAAGTAAATGACAAAGGAATATTTGTTAAAAGATTATGAATTTAATAATATACTTATATGTACACAAAAGCTTGTTTGTTATATGAACAATTCTGCAACTCAAATAATGAAGTTTATTAATTGAATAAAGTTGATATTTAACACATACATACATACACCAGAGAACGTATATTTATAGAGAAGGACCAAGAACGGATCAGCGTGGAAACTGTCAAATACCAACAAAACTGGCGAAGCGCATTTTAAGAGCGGCCAGCAAGAGACAATCGAATTTTAACAGAGCCCAGCCAGAAGCAAAATAAATTGAACAGAAATTGTCTCATCAAAGCAAATGCATGTTTTTCTTGTTAGACGCGAAATGCTGACGGCTTTTTACGTTTTTACAAAGCTTTTATTGTTCTTTAAATTGGTTAATTATTTAAAATAAATGCATGCATAGGTCGAAATATGTAATATGTACATATTGTGTACATGCATATGTATGCGAGAGATACAATTTTGTGAATCTAAAAAGTGAAAGTTATGCAAATATGTAGTATGCAATTGGCAAATTCGTGGGTGATTTTCCGTCGGCATTTGGGTTGAAAAAATCGACTTTTACTTTTTTACCGATTCATATGGTAGATGCTACGCTATTTTCAATGCAACAAACCACAGTTTTCTAGCTGCCTTAGTTTTTCCCCAAATTCACTTTAAACACCAACACATTGACCAAAAAACGCAAATGCGCACTGTTTGGTGATTTGATGTCGGCATTAAAAGCGAAGAAAATCGGTTTTTATATATTTAACGATTCTAATGGTAGTTTATAGACACGATATTTTCAATGCAACAAACTGCAGTTTTCTAGCTGCCATAGTTTTCTCACAAATCCACTTCAAAGATGGATACATTGACAAAACGCGTACAAATGCATTGATTGCACTGCACGTGTAAACTTCAAAGTTGTTTTTGTCGAAGTTATTTATATTGAGAAAATATGTTGCATTATCATTTTTCACTGTTTTTCATAGTAAAAATAAAGTCGACACTAAAGTTAGTTACAGCTTTTTCACATCATTTTCAGTGGATTAGGCATCTGTGAAAAAAAGATGCAACTAATTTTTTTCTTTTTTGGGACTGAGAAACTTTAACTTAGAGTCGACTTTATTTGGTCTACGAATATGCCCCAATAGTTTTGGAGTCAAATGAAAATGCATTTCCCCCATGCATACGTACTCCATTAACTGATAACGTTTTTACATGCGTACATATATATGTATGTATGTGCATATTACTGCCAAAATACTACGCACATACACACAAATGTACATATTTACAACTCACGGCAGCATACATACATATGCACATAATTACGCGCATACTCAAATACAACAATAACTATTTCTTTCATAAACGCATGCGCGCATTTCTCAAGGCCAAGTAAATTCATTCATAAAAATAACCGCAGCACATCTCCCCGCAAATTCATCACCAACAAGCGCAACTTTGTCAATCCGACACAAAAATTCTAAAATCTTAAAATGAAGAAATCTCGGCCAGCCAAGTGAAAATTGGCAATTATTTCTCTATATCCAGTAAAATAAGGTATCTCGAATCTTGGCAATTTTTGGTAATTTTTGACAAAACACTCTATTTCTCTGTTCCATACCAATATTTCAATCATTAACTAGTATTTTAAAGTGTCATTTTAATAAACATTAAATAAAAGTGTATGTTTTCTGCAGCAAAATACATTAATTTTTTTTAATAAAATCAAAACTTGTAAATTCACAAACATATGTGGTTTTATCGGAAGTTCACAGATGTAACGTGGCAACTTAGCTCGTTTTCATATTTTTCGGTCCGAAATTGTAAAATTTTTGTCCATGCCGCGCCACAATTTTTGTACAGGTGGGTCAATGTGCCTTGAACAAAATTTATATATATACAAAAAAATTATTTTATTTATTTTTTAATATTAAAAATTTCTATACTTCCAAGCGTTTATAAAAATATATTTACATATATGCACGAACGATTTTTAATATTTTTCATCCCTAAGCAAATCTTCAGTACCATAAAAGATTCAAACACATCAAAGTACAAGCAATGCAATGTTCAACCTAGTGCTACT